GTGTTGGTTACCACCTATCTACCAACATAAGATAGCCATCTGTGTTGGTTACCACCTATCTACCAACATAAGATAGCCATCTGTGTTGGTTACCACCTATCTACCAACATAAGATAGCCATCTGTGTCGGTTACCACCTATCTACCAACATAAGCTAGCTATCTGTGTCTGTTACCACCTATCTACCAACATAAGCTAGCTATCTGTGTCTGTTACCACCTATCTACCAACATAAGATAGCCATCTGTGTCGCTTACCACCTATCTACCAACATAAGATAGCCATCTGTGTTAGTTACCAGCTATCTACCAACATAAGATAGCCATCTGTGTCGGTTACCACCTATCTACCAACATAAGATAGCTGTCTGTGTCGGTTACCACCTATCTACCAACAGTTGGTAGATAGGTGGTAACCGACACAGAATAAGATAGCCATCTGTGTCGGTTACCCTTTTGGGAGAATAAAACTCAGAACTTTTGAGCTTATCTACTACAAGAATGGTACATTTTCTTTTATGATTTTATTCAAGGTTTTATAACTTCTGACAGAAGCTAAGACTTTTATCTTATTTAAACAAAACACCAGATTGTTGTAAGGAATATAGTGCTAACCTTTAAAAATGCTTGTGTGAAAAAAAAAATCTGTTTTAACTCAAACAGTAGGTGATTTAATACTACATTGTCTGTGTCACTATTTATTACTACATTGTCTGTGTGACTATTTCACACAGACAATGTGTGACTACTCTGTTCAAAGTAAATGGCATGGCAAAATGATCCCTGGATCATGTCCTACACAGTCTTGTACCTCACTTGTAAGCTTCTTGATCTAATGGAATACACCACAACCTACCAAAATTGTCATATTTTGTGACGTTAAGTCAGAGATTGTTTGTTAAACAAGTAGTTTTTTTTCTACCATTTTTTCAAATTGTGCCTCACCATTAGTTTGATATTTCTAGAAAAGAATGTGGGCTGGAAAGGTTTGTACCTCTGTCGTTACTGGAAACAATGAAGCGAAAGGAGTTGAGAAAATTGTTGAATCATTTTATGAAACAGAACCAGTCGTTAACTGCTCCTGGACAGAAGCAGCTGACGGCACTGCAAGCTAAACTTCACTATCTTAAGATGATCAGTGAACTGCCTAGTTATGGAGCCAAGTGCTTTGCCTCAAACTTTAAGGTAAAATGTCACAATAAATAATTGTTGTAATCATTTTGTATAACTCAGTAAAAATGTAAAAAATCTTTATGTTCTACAAAGTTATTTAGATATTATAATGTCATATTACTGAACATTTATGAAGTTTAATTTTAAACATTAATGTCCTGATGAAGCTACTTCATTCGCAAAATTATACACCTATGTTGATATGTTATTAAGAAATTCATTTATATTTGACTCCAGTCTCTATTCCACAGGATGCTACATTGGAGACAGCCCTGTTGATTAGCCCAAAGTATGGCATTAGTCAGATTAGCAGCCCAAGAAATACTTCGGTCAGTTTTCTTTTATAGATTTATGGCATAGAAAAACTTTGTCCAGTAATTGAGTAAACTCTAGTAATACAACTTACTGAGAAACATTTGACCATATTTCAGTTTCGTATAAATATCTTTGGTTGTAATGTGATAGGTGGTAACCGACACAGATAGCTAGCTTATGTTGGTAGATAGGTGTATACATGTACAAATCTCACTCAATAGACAACTTTTACTTCAGCTGTATACATTTATAAAACTTACTCAATGGACAACTTTTACTTCAGCTGTATACATGTACAAAACTTACTCAATGAACAACTTTTACTTCAGCTGTATACATGTACAAAACTTACTCAATAGACAACTTTTACTTCAGCTGTATACATTTATAAAACTTACTCAATGGACAACTTTTACTTCAGCTGTATACATGTACAAAACTTACTCAATGAACAACTTTTACTTCAGCTGTATACATGTACAAATCTCACTCAATAGACAACTTTTACTTCAGCTGTATACATGTACAAAACTTACTCAATGA